AGGGCAACTGCTGGCCAGGTGGATTAACTGCAATGTGAGGATCCTTCGCAAATGCAGTACCAAAACAGAGATCCACTGGGTTCCAGGGCACCAGGAATGATGAAGCAGATCGCCAAGCGAACCTGGCCCAAGAAGGCCGTAGAGCAAGCACGGTACGAGAACAAGAGTATACCTCGGCTGCAAATAGAACTAGATGAATCTCCAAGGAAATATCGGCAGCAAAAGCACAGTGGGATGCCAACAAATGCAGCAAGCATTTCGGCTATAGACTCAGGGGCAAGGTCGGCAGCAAGAGACCCATCCCAATGACAAGTGTGAAGTCATTAGCTACTAAGTTCTACCGCCTAAAGAGCGGGCATGCACCAGTGGGGAACACCATGGGCTGGAAAGCGGGGGGGTGCCGACATGTGCAGGTCTCTAAGCTGTTTTCCATGGAGAAGTGCAGTCAAGCGGTAATGGACTTCCTGGCAGCTACTGAAGTCAGGAAGTTCCTACCCAAGAAAGGGGAGGAGTGAGGAGTGAAGAGTGAGGTTCTTCGGGGGATCTTTTGGTTCGGCGGTCACTCGTTCGGTTCTTTTCTTTTGTTCTGATCAATCTTTTTGCTTTCTTGTGTCAGAGGGGATGATGGGTAGCAGGAGTGGAGCTTCGCCATCTAGCTGGATTGCCCGGAGGCGAAGGTGATTAGGGTTCTGTCATACTCTAGATAGAGTGAATACAGTATGATTAAAACAAAACAAAAAATCCTCCTGCAGCGGCTAGCTGGAAACCCAGTAATCGCCGCATATGTGCGACATGTCACCTGCAATGATGTTCTCAGAGACGACCAGGAGCTATTGAAATCAGCAATATATGCGCTTCCGCATCTGCAGGATTTCGTGTAAGTTTACTGAACCCAGGATATTACGAAAATCCATATCTGACGCAGTTGCAGTATACGTTGCAAGTGGGGACGGAACACAACTATCGTTTCGATGCTTGCAGCTCAACATCCGAGAGTCCGAATACATATCAAAGTTTCATCTGTCCGACCAAGCCCCCGCACGACTGCTGGCAAAATCTCCACTCCTTGAATCTAAAACTTTATAAGCCGGAGGAGCCCGAGAAGATCAATGCGGTGAGCGATCCGCTCGCAACCTTAAGGAACCTACGTGTTTTCCGCATAGCTTTTTGGCACAGTTTTATATCTGTTGATCGCGAGGGTTTTCGACTACCCCTAATTTATCCAAATGCCCGTGTGGCAGAGATTGAAGACCTCGAGTTTTGGGATACACCATACACATTAGTGCAATGGTCGTCGCGGATTAACTTGTTGTGCGTCCAGCGGCTTTCGCGGTCTTGCTCAGCGCTGATCACACTGGGTAATAACCATAAAATGGTGGCCATGCAGCTTATTAACTTAGATTCGTGGATAGTCAAGGACATCGGGGAGGGATGTGAAGATGGTGATGAAGTAGTTTCCAGGCTCCAGAGGTTTCTTGAGATATGTAAACCGCTTAAAGTCCTCAACCTTCAACCGCTTCCGGGGAATCCCTTATCAACACAATCACAACATCCCACGGGGCATCTCTAGAGTCACCACGAATACATAACCACGGAGCTCGTCACGCATTACGGAAACGCAATATTCTCAGTCTGCAAGACCTGCATCTTTTCTATCTTTCTTGCCCCAAACTGTGCAACCTTGCTGTTGATGTTGACCGTGACGGGGAGTGGCCTCTGGAGGTATTCGATTCTCTAGCTAAATTTGCAACCATTCGCGAGCTGACTCTTTTTTGAGATTGGAATGCTGACGGACCGCTGGGTGAGACCTTACTGCTCGTTCGACAGTGCGAGGTGGATTTTTGAATATTTGAGAAGCAAAAACCTGATGCTGCGACAGATCAAGGTGAAAGCTGGGAAGGGAATGCATAAGACGTATGGGATTTGGTGCCCATAACATCCGGATGAAGAGAAAATGATGAGTAATACATTCACTGTTACTGTAAATGAAAATGGTAGTGGTGGAGCAACGATCATATCTTCGGAAGTGAAATGGACCGAGAGGGCCTTGAGTTCTCACGGTAAGCCGGTCATGTATTGGTCAACAAGATTACAGGAAGCCACAAGTCTGGCAGAGGAGGGGCCTTGTGGAACGGGAAGCAACGCTTATAACTAACATTTTCGTCGCAGGACTTAGATTATCTAGTTGGTATGTACTCGCACATGAGTTCTGTTCGCAGGATTAAGCCACCATCCTAACGGTGTAATAGTGTTTTCTACGGCACCAGGTAAGCATATTTCATGTTTTGAAATGCGTCACCAAGATTTTCCTCGTCAGATATAGTGGTAAAAGAAACCGGATGTGAATTACGCTAGGGCAGGGAAATTATTTAAGCTTCAATGTAGAACCTCAGATATTTACTTTTTAGGGCTTAATTGTACTATTTATCTGCTTGAAATTTTTTTTAATTAGACTCGTTCGTACCCACATATCCTACATTCAAACCACCCATGTGGTGACCAGAGATACCAACAAATCCCACAAAATCCCAGCCGTTCACCGCTGCAGTCATTTACTGCATGAAAATTTGAACCAATATCCGTGAACCAATCTGCCTTAAACCTTTCGGTGGCCCCTGAACATTATTCGTTGTATAGAAGATTATTTTACCCGACAGATATGCATGAACTTAAATAGGATGACAGCCAGAGGTTAGGGTTGACGTTGCTACCACGATTGTACTACATACAGGCCCAAGATTTTTCATGAATACATCTCTAAGAAATGCAATACAAAACTAAACACATGGTAAATCCATACCTTCATCACTCGATCCGACACTCTATGTTACCAGCTATCACTCGATCTGACACTCCATGTCACCAGTTATCACTCGATCTGACACTCCATGTCACCAGCTATCACTCGAGCTTCAACTCGTTCTGCTCAAAATCGTAATGACAGAATCAAGAGTATGCATATATGGATTCAAAAGCTTCTATATGTAGAGATATTAGCCAGTCTAATATGTTCCTAGAGGGTTGACTTACAGAACACAACACGTTCCAATCACTGTCAGTCAATCGCCTCCCTCAATTCCCTTGATCTGGTAGTTTCATCCACTGGAAAGCCGCACCGTACATCCATCAAACTTTCATGCAATAGTAAGAGATTATATATCGCTGGAAGAAGCTCATATGAGAAGTAATACTTTCAAAATAGACATGAACTAATGCCAGCTATGATAATTCTCCCCGTCAGGAAATCCAGAGCAATATCATTCCTTAATAGCTGACGGGCGGGTTTTCATGTGACCAAAATAGCTATCCATTGAGTTCTCACTACAGACTAGCCGAACCACCACCGCTCAGGAAAACACATAGTTTAAACCAACGACCCCGTCGGAACTACATGCCCCAATAACCACTCCCTCGATTCCCCCAAATTCCTCACCTGATGAAGCTGCCGCGGTGATCTCTGATGAAAAACCACCACACTATCGTCCGATGTCGTTGCCGCAATGCTGCTACCGCCATTGCACACCGTCATCCTCACCGGATACGCACGCGACTTAACCTCCACAATCTCCTCTGACAAGCTTCTATAGTAAACCCTATCTTGGGATTTATCAGGCCATGACACTGCGGCAATCGATGTGTTTCTCGACACCTCAATCATGACGCTTCCATCCTTCCAGCCTTCAGCCGACCACCCACGCTCGCGGAGCCAGCCGGTCGTGTCTTGGTAAAATACAGTCAAATCATTTGCAGTCGCTGCCAGTGAGGTTCCAGATAGGGCGACGGGCAGCGATGAGCCCTGATACCATCGTTTGGTGGGATCCCAGCAGTGCTCCTGGATGGTGCCGTTCGGAGTCTGGTAGTAAACACGAAGATAGTTACCGTAGCCGATCGCAGCGAGACAGGTATACAGTGCATGAGGGGTTTTTGGCGAAGCGCAAAACCCTCCAATTTGCCAATTGTTAAGCGCACCGTCAAAAAAATTCCAGTACTCTTGGAGGTTTTCGTTGCGATCCATGAAGAAAACAATGATAGTTCCCCTCTGCATCGCTACATCAATACTTGATACCCAGAGGATCTGAAGACTACCAGAAAAAATGTATTTAACAACGTTACATTTTCTGGGCAGATAACAGCTGCTGCTAACGGGCTTCCTGGTTTCGCTGGGAAGAGGATGTCTTTGTATGTGCCGCCTGACCATATGGTTCCATCGGTTCTTGCCTCCCGAATATAGCCGTGGATGTCTTGGAAATATACTCGGATTTGATTGCCTCTACTGACTACCGCCAAGGCAGTTCCGGGCAAGATCTCGCCGTCGGAACTCGTTGGTGGGTTGGGGTGGATATAGGTTGAGACATGATGGATTTGGTCGCTGTTGTTAGGAAAATGGTTGCCTATTAGTTTCGTTCACTCGAAAATTTGGCTGGTGTTGCAGGTTGAATGGCAATATAGCACGTGTCAATTTTATTTCTGGCTGTACGGGAAGTATTCGCAATAGTTCGATGTTAATTCGGGCGAAATTAATTAATGTTTCTACCTACCTCTAACATGCGGCCACTTGTATAGTTTTCCGCTATCACAGCTTTAATATGTACAGTAACACACACGTCGGTGGTGTAAACCTGGCCTTCGGAAGAAATAAATGTCACTTTTTAATTCTAGTCCAATCAATATCAAAGTCATCGCTGATCACTCTATACTAATGAATATTTTGTGATGCATCAATAATTATATTTTTCTTTGAAACCAGTTAAACTACAATCTAGAAAGTTCGAGGGACAAGTGAAGCAGATTCTGGGGCTCATCACTAAAACTTCAGGTACGAAGCTGGCTAATCGTACCGGCAATACTTCTAGACGGATGATTTGATGAGAACTGCCGTTTAGACTCATACCGGCAATAGAGATGGTATACATACGACGTTTGGTCCTTTTTTTTGCCGTTTTCGGAGGTGTCTAGGGCCCGGAGGTTGAAATATGAATAATAAAATCATCAGACAAGTAGTCGATATAGTATAGTGGTTAGTACGGCTCGTTGTGGCTCGCCAAATCCGAGCAGACCCATGTTCGATTCATGGTATCGACAATTGTTTTGCCGGATAAGAGGTATGCCCCAAATAGGGTTAACATCATTTTTAATTACCAAAATAAAATTCTCTTATAGATATTAATTTCCATAAATGGAAATTCTATTGGCACTAATCAGGCGTACCTCTTATCTGAGTTTATACGGCACTCCAGGTGAGTGAATACGACAGACAAGTGTCTGCTGCTGCGGTGACAACCTATAATATGTCACAATAAAAGATGTTCACGATCGGCGCTCGAGATAACAGATGAATAGTTTGATTTGAAATAACAGCACCTCTTGGCACCTATTTTATCATTCAAACACTGCACTAAAGGTTTACAAACTATCACAGGTTTCTGCTCAAGCACTTGGCGCCAATCGCAAGAACATGAAGGCGCGAAAATGTATCCAGTCTTATGTGCAGGTTGCATGTTGTCATTGAAAATCGTATTCAACCGGGACGTCCATCAATCGGAACTCGATCTTGAAATTCGGGTGGTATTGAATGCGGGGTTCGGTGAAAGGAGAAGTGCGGGGTTGAGGCCGGTACTTAAGAATGTATTGCTTTTGGTACATACATAACTGGGATATTCAGAGTTCGCCAATCTGCACTAGTGCAGCTGCTACACTCAATTGGGTCTTTGGTGTGACATGTGATGACAGGGCTGTCTGGCATTGCAATATTGTCGGGAGGTGAGACATTTCAATCCACGCTCGAACCACAATCAGCAAAGCCAGAAAGTCTAATAGTGGGTGGCATGCGCCCGGATTGCTTTGCTGTCACGATATGCACGGCTCCTACAACCTCAACATTTGCCGCACACAGCGAGCGTATAGGTTTTGGGTTCGGACACAGTCGCTCCGGAGCAACGCCCGGGGTGTCGGGACTGATGCCAAGGTTCTACAAACGTCTACAACATCAGAAATTATCACCGAGGCTGCTGTGTGGAGGCAGAAATGCGTCACCCCAATAACCTCATTGGAACGTGTTCCGTGTAGTGGTGTGTTGAATCTACCTCCTTTGCCAAACACACAGGGTGATTTTTATTCTTGAGCGTCGTTGGCAAATTATCTCATTCTCCGGTCTGTTCACGGAGCACTAATCTGACTGGTTCATTCACGTAAGGTGCGACTCTGTGAATTGACTGAACACTTCGTGGAGCAACATCCTCTGTGAACTGACTTGAACAGTCTAGACTCGAGCTTTAAGAATCAAAGAAAACGCATTTCCGGATGAACGAAGTCGGTCTTGGAATTTAACGTGGAAATCGTCTGAATATTCCGTGCTATTTTTTGTAGGGCCGGAAGGTCCGGAAGTGTTTCGGGTATCTGGAAGGTTGTGGAACTGTTTGTTTGTCTGTTTGCTTGTTTGCTAGACTGATCCTTTGTTTTGGGAAAAGCCACGGCCTCACGGCTTGTTTTCCTTTGTGATGGCAACAGCATATCTAGAGGGCTTGTCTGCTCTCTTCTTTTAGATTTTAGACGCAATAGACTCAACAAGTTTTATCCTCTCTACATCGCTGTGCATCTTGCCACCCACGCACAACAGGTTATGAGCCCTTGCGAGCCTTTTGATTAAAGTAATTATCGAAAGCGAAGGGAGGATGGTCGAGAAGTACATTGACAACCGCCAACGAAGTACTGTTGGAGGAGAGTCAAGATTCAAAGAGTGGAGGAAGTTTGGACATTCAAAGTAACGATATGTCAGCCAACAACCTCACGATGAATATTGGTAAGTTTGACGGTGCCAACTATAACAAATGGTCCGGACAGGTGGAGCTCCTGTTAGAGAGCAAACACGTCCTCGGAGTTGTTACAGGCGACCTGAAGAAACCAGATGCTCTCGGAGAAAATGCGACTGCCACAGAAAGACTGGCACATGCGACACTGACAGAATCTTTTATCGACAAGCATGGGACTGCTAGATCGACCCTCCTGCTGACCATGGAGGAGAGACTCCAACTCGAGTACATGAAAGTCAAGGATGCCAAGGAGTTATGGGAACAACTCGCGGTAGATTACAAGACGAAAGTCAAGAGGTCGAAGTTTCGCATTCGGAGAGAATTGTTACAGATAAAGTTAGAAGATTGTGGAGACGTCAAGACTTACACACTCCGTATCGACAGGCTAGTTCAAGATTGGAACTTATGTGTTGACGCCGACGAGACAGAGGCGGCAGATGACGACACCAAGACGGCTGTGAGGAAGCGCAAGAAGGAAACGGTTATGCCCGAAGGCGACCACATCTTCTATCTCTTATACGGCATTCCTAACAACGACGATTGGAAGATCTTCTTGGAGTTCATGGAGGATAAGGAAGCCGAAGACACAATGTGGCCTAGCAATGTCATTACCAGGATGCAGGAGCGTGAGGAAAAGCTCAAGCAGGAAAAGGGCCTTGGTCACGATACCCTACTCTTTGCAAAGAAAGGGAAAGGCAAAGACAAAGGCAAGGGCAACGGCAAGGATAAAAAAGGAAAGGGCAAGTCAGACGACAAGAAAGATAAGAAGTCTTCAGGATCTAGCGAAATGATCTGTCACCATTGCCAAAATAAGGGCCATATTATCAGAGAGTGTCCAAGCAAGAAGCGTGGAGAGAAAGCCGCACCGAAGCCTGAAGAGAAAAAGGATACTGCGGTAGCCGCGACGACGACTGTTGACAACTGTTGGATGGCTGCAGATTTGGATGTGCCAATGTCGGCCTATGATTAGTACATCGACGGTGGTTGCACTTCGCATATATGTGGCCAACGATCGTATTTTTCCAAATATACAGCATATGCTTCAGGTAGCAAGCAAGTTAAGGGATTTAATGGAGTACAGTCAGATGTTGCCGGATATGGAGAAGTTATTTTGACGAGCCGCCTGCCAGATGGTCAATCGGAAAAGATAGTCCTACAGCACGTTATGCACCAGCCTTGATCGTTCAACCTTATTTCACAGTCAACAATCATGGATAAAGATGTGAGAGTCGAGTCGGTTAATCACTACGGTCTGAACCTGTACAACCGACATGTGAAGTTGATTGCCACCGCTCCACAGGCTGGAGGTTTGTTTGTTCTCGATCGTGTCATGGATTCGGAGGAGTCTAAGACTGTCACTGTCGATATCGCTGGAGCAGCAGTTGCGGAAGTCACCACAAAGAGTTGCATGGTCGCGCTTAAGACTATTGGGCACCCGACGAAGTCGGCAGCCGCGCGGCGCATACTTTGGCACAGATGACTGGCGCATGTTGGATTAAAAGCATTGGATATCACCCCAAAGGTGGTTGAAGGTATGCCAGTGCTCACAGGGAAATGTGATTGCGACAGCTGTATTAACGGTAAGAATGTGAGAAAACCCTTCACGTCCGTTACAACGAGAGCATCGACGCCTCTCGAGCTTATCCATTCGGACATCTGCGGTCCAGTTGACACTGCAATTGGAGGAGGCCGGTATATGCTTCTATTCATTGACGATTGCACAAGATGGACTACGTGTTACATACTGATCCCCAAGTCGGAAGCATTGGCGAAGTTCAAGGAATGGGTTGCACTTGCTGAAAAGACACATTCTACTGCTGGACACAAGGTCAAGAAGTTCCGAACCGATGGCGGAGGAGAGTTCACTTCCAAGAAATTTGCAGCGTACCTCAAGGAGGAGGGCATCGTCAAGGAAACAACGACACCATATACGCCACAATCGAATGGAGTAGTTGAGAGAGCGAATCGGACGATTTTTGGTCGTGCACGGAGTATGCTGGAAGATGCTGGTCTCTCAAAGAAGTACTGGGCTTTTGCAGTTGAGGCTGCAGTGTATTTGAAGAATCGTACGCCGACAAGATCAGTCGTTGGAAAGACTCCGTTTGAGGCCTGGCTTGGTGCAAAACCCACAATCAAGCATCTGAGAGTTTTTGGATGTTTAGCATTTGTTCATATTCCGAAAGAAAAGCGGAAGAAATTTGATTATCGCACGACTCCAGGAATATTCGTGGGCTACTGCATCACCACCAAGCAGTATTTGATTTATGATCCATTGGCGAGAGCTCTTCATCGTTCAAGAGATGTGATTTTCAGAGAAGATCGTAGGTATACAGCTCCAAATGCTGCAGATGAAGCAATTTTATCAGAGCACTTCTATCGAGAAGTAATCATGGAGGATTCGGAGGATCGCTGGAAAAAGAAATATGATCTCCTGAAGAAGCAAATTGAAACAGCAAAGCTAACCGATGAAGGCAATTCCGGACGTCAAATCCACGAAGTTAGTGGATCCGGAAAAGAAGAAATCACTGAAGAACCGCAGGTCGAACCTCCAATTGTACCGCCTACGCAGCCCTCGGCATCGCAAACGCAGAAGAAGAAATCGAGAGCCTTGGCTGGACTCGACACATCATTGGGATCTGCTTGGGCTGCACCACGAGAAGGAAATCGGAGGACTCGCCCGCCTCCAGGAAGACTGGCGCAGTCATCTCAACTTGCAAGCGATGATGAAGTGTATGAGGAAGGAATCGCGCCAATTTATGCAGCTATCATGGTATCCGCAGGAGTTGGCAACCAGGATGGCATTGAGGATCCGAAGTCATATAAGGCCGCAACTGAGAGCCAGCAAGCAGCCGAATGGGATATCGCGATGAAAGAAGAACTGAGTGCGATTGTCGATCACAAGGTCTTTGACTCTGATTTCGTCAAACTTCCAGAAGGCAGGAAGGCATTAGCAAGCCACTGGGTTTATAAAGTCAAGGGAGACGGGAATGGGAAGATACAGAGATTCAAAGCACGCCTCGTCGTTGGCGGCAATCACCAAGTTGAAGGCCTCGATTACAAGGAAACCTATGCTCCGACGGCAAGACTTGGCCACGTCAGGTTGGCCTTGGCCATCGCAGCAGCATACGACTTGGAGTTACACCAGATGGACGTCTGCACGGCATTTCTTGGAGTCGATTTGGAAGAGGAAATCTATATGCACCCTCCTCAAGGCTATTACCGTATGATCGGAAGCGTTGGGAAGTTATCAACGACATCCGGAGCAGGAAATCT